GTCCTGGCCCATGACAGATAATAAAACAGCTGGTTTGCTGGGGCGTGTGGGTATGTTCAGAGGTGCTGGAGCAACAGGGCATAGCTGCCCCATCTATCACATCCACACCCCTGCTGCAGAGAAGCCTTGCTCCACCCCTTGCTGATCCCCAGCCCTGCAGCTGTGGGAGGTCAGCAGCACCTGGGATGAATACTGCCTGGCTCCATGCTGACCAAGATGGCTGATGGGGTAGGTCTGGCAGGTGGGGTGCAGGAGGCTCTCTCCCCTTCGTCAGCTCCTGTGCGGGAAGGGGCTCTCATTCAAGGAAGAGGCATGAAAGGGGAAGGAGGAGGGAAACTGCAGGAGACTAATAAGACTCATTTGCTCCACTCCTATCCCTCACCTTAAACTCATCTTCAGGCTCCTAAGGGTTAAACCCTGCTCCATATGTGCCAAGAGAGCCAACCTGGCAGTCTTAGAAGACAACGCTCGAGTGGGTGTTTTCCCCCTTTCATTAGCAACACGTATTTACTCCGATTCCAGGTGTTTTGTCTGGGAACATCCTTTGTTCTGGGTTCAGTGATACCTCATGTTCACTATGGTTCGGGATATACCCTTAGCTCTGCCCTGCCTCAGCCCCACTCTTCAAGTTTTATCTCCTTTCTCAAGCCATATACACTTTGTCTGGGCTGGATCTGCTGGGCTGGGGCCCTCCAGGTTCAGACGCCGGCTGATCTCAGATACAGGGAGAGTTGCCGGCTTTCCATGGCACTGCATTACTCTGCCCAGCAGAGTAGTTCAGTCTGCTGGGATGCTGGGATGCCTCTCTGGGAAATGGTTTGTGACGATCTGGGGTTTTGTCCGGTTTGAAGAGCCTGTGACAGTTTCAAAGGCGTGACTGACAGACACGAATGTGATCCCACATGGGGAAGCTGAGCCGTAGCAGTAGAGCAGGTGCTCTATGCTGGCTCACAAGACATCAGACCTCAGGCATCCCATTATTCTGACTACACCTTTATCACTCCACTTCAGTTCCGAGCTGCTTCTCAAGGCCCCTCTCTCAAGACCTCAGGGCTAAAAGCAATGCCTCATGCAACCTGGCAGACTAGAATCCCAGGGTACAAAGCAGCATGGACAGGTTTTGGGGATGGAAACGAAGGCTACAAATAACTGCCTGCTATTTTGCTCCTGCAGGTATTCTCACACGATTTAGATCACCCAGACGTCTGTGGCCACAATACGTGGAATAATCAATGGCTTGGGTGTCTAAGTGACACAAATTGTGGGGTCAAAATTGTGCCCCAAAATATTTGCACCTGAAAAAATGGCAGCTAGGTGAAGACCAACCTGTACATGTGCGCATTAATCCCTGACTCAGGGAACTCATGAGATCTTTACCTGCTACAAAGTAGCTGGAACTGAAGCCAGTCCTCCGAATGACCAGTTTATGAAGCCTGGCTCTTGTCTCATTTGTTATTGTAAGGACTGTGCTCATTATTACCGAATATTAACAATGCAAGATTGCTCAGTAATTTCACTAACCCGAAAATGCTTGTATTTGTCCCTCACTTACTGTTCCCTTGCCCAAAGAAGCCATTTGAGACTCATGGTGTCGAGGGATGAGAATTTCCTCTTTTTTATGAGGAAATCCACACTCAGGTACACACTAGGAGAAAGGTGTGTTCTTCTCTGGTGTTAGCTAACACAAGGTAAAATCACAGTGAAACCATTGCTGTGTATAGTTTTCACATGCATTAGCAGGTTGAGAGAAACAGGTGCCACAAGTACTCCTTTTCTTTTTGCGAATACAGACTAACACGGCTGTTCCTCTGAAACCTGAGGATTAACATGTGTTAATCCTACAACTGGCTCGTCCTCACTAGGAGTTTACCTCATGTTAGTCGCCAGCTGTTAGCTATACACCCTTCTTCTGAGTGCAGACAAGGCCTGATGGAGAAAATATTGGACACAGTGCGGGAGGGATGATGAAACCCCTTAGGTTTCATAGGGCCATGACGACTCCTCCTCAGCTGGGAAAGAACAGCGGCTTACAGAAACAATGTCAGCTGCGTAAGACTCAAAGGGCTTTGGTGGGAGAGGGGCGAAGAGATTTTCAGTGTGTTTTGAGGAACTTTTGAACACAGTTAACATCCAATAAACAAAAATATTGAGAAGAGGAATGTAGCCAGTGAGATGACAGCCGGGCTTTCAAGTCTGGTGCTCTAGGATTTGCCAGGGCAGAGATGCACTCCCCTGGAACCTGTACACATGATGTCAGGATCAATAAACATTTCTAAGCAGTAGTCTTTAGATCATTGATCAGACAGAAACATAGTTTATCCCAAAGCCCCAGTACCACCCACTGGCAACACCAACTCCCCTTTGCATCCATAATGCCTTAGTGTCACCCAGCTCCCACCTGTACCCAGAACTTCCAGCACCACCTACTGGCATCACCCACCTCACCTCGGAACCCATGACCTTCAGCACCATCCATTGGCATTAGACTTTGCACCTGGCACCACTCGCCAGCCTTACACCCCCCCCCACACCCACACACCTGCCCCAGCACCCAAGAACCTCATTAGAGCTGTTTCTGCTTGCCCTGGACAGGCACGGGTGAAAGAGACTGGCTTTATTTCTGCCCTGGGGGGGGGGGAAGAAGAGGAGGTGGGTGTTTTTCTGGCTGCAATGCTGGGGAGTATGTGTCCACTGAAGCCTGTGATCGTAATGTGCAATCCACTCCACCCCTCGAACCAGTGTGTGCTCCGATAACAATTACAGAGTGTCTTACATTTTCAAAGCACTGCCCCAATATTAACCAAACCTTCCCCAGTCCCCCAGGAAGATGTGTATCGGTAGCCCAGCTGGCAAGGGGGAACTAGGACACAGAGATTAGGACCAACACGTTTAAATCTGGCTGTCTAAAGTCAGGCATTGTAAATCCATATTGAGGCTCCTAAAGAAGCGCCCTGAATTTCAGGCATGCTGGGTGCTGCCACTGATTGCAGGGGAAGCTGTGGGGGCTCGGCCCTTCGGAGCCAGCCCACTCGTATTTAGGCGCCCATGTTTGAAAGTTTTGGCTTTCATCTCTCAAAGGCTGTTTCCCCATCTGTAAAATGGAGGCAAGGATTCTCTGCCCCTTTGTAAAGCACCAGGCGAGCCCTGGGTAAGGAGGAGGGCATGCTGGCTCAGCAACTCTGGAACAGAATTTCCACAGTCACCACAGAACAGGCCAGAGGAAGAGAGTGGGGGTGGGGGATGAGCATGAGAGAATCTTAAAAATACAAGAAAAGGTCTGTCTCTTTGGCATTGTACTTGCATATTGGTGTCTAATCTGGTTTATTTTATGCAGAAATAACCTCATGGTAATACGAATGGGTAAGTACAATGAGTGCAAAGGCCAGGGTTCAGAAAAGAGCTACAAGAATGATTCGAGGTCTGGAAGACCGGCCTCTCAGTGAAAGATTCAGTCTGTTTAGTTTGTCCAAGAAAAGGCTAAAAGGTGACTTGATCCTGATCTGTAAAGATCTCCAGGAGGTGAAGATTTCTGATCGTAGAGGGCTCTTTAATCCAACAGACAAAGCAGAACAAGAGCCAATGGATGGAAGCTGAAGCTGGATAAATTCAGATTAGAAATAAGGCGCACATTTGTAATGGCAAGGGTAATTAATCATGGGAACAGCTTATCCAGGGAGGTGGGGGATTCTCTGTCACTTGCTGTCAGTCAGTCAGGACTGGATGTCTTTTGGAGAGATACTCTTGAGCTCAACCAGAAGTTCTGGGCGTGATGCAGGAATCCCTGGTTGAGGTTGTTTGGCCTGTGCTACGCAGGAGTTGAAACAAGATGATCAGAATGGTCTTAAATGTATGAAGCAGTCACCAGCCGCCTCTTTGAACCCCAACACACCATCAGCTTACCCTATGTGCCAGCCCTAGAAAGAACAAAGAGGATGAAAGGGGCTTCATTGTAGCCTTCCACCCCCCACCCCAACAGTAATTAGGACACTGCCCCCAGAATTACTGACACCTCCCCTTTCTTTTGCAGGGTCATATTTTTCTCCTCTGCTCTTTGCTGCAATCATCCTGGGGCTGCAGTGGCCCCGGGGGGCAGCAGCCTTCCCTGCCATGCCCCTCTCCAGTCTGTTTGCCAATGCCGTGCTGAGGGCCCAGCACCTCCACCTGCTGGCTGCTGACACATACAAAGAGTTTGTAAGTATCACAGGGTTGTGACATTGGACTCCCATGTTATTTGAAAATGGGATAATCTTTCCCCACAGACGCAGACATGTTCAGTTTGTGGAGTTCTCTCCAATCCTGGGCAGGGGTTCTGAACTCATTTATGTCCCAATCTCCATATTCCCGTGCATCTCTCATGTCCCCCACCTTCTCCTCACCTTTCCCAGCAACAACCATTAGTCTCCTTCCTGCACCCCAGTTCCCCCTCTTCCTCACATTCCCCTGCCCTCCCCCCATTTCTCTTTCTCATCCGCCACATTTGCTTGTCCCCTCATGGTGACCGGCATTACAGTCAGTTTCCAAAGCCCAGAGTGGCTCAGACACCTTCACTGAGGGGAACCTGGCGTCAATGCCCCTGGAAGCCATGGGAGATGACACATCTTTACAAGACTTACTGTGTCCAAGGAGTGTATAATTTACTTATGGAGCTGGCAGACCGTGGGCTTTCCAAAATTGTCTGGTTTTCTGCTACCTTAGCTTGCAGAAATACAAATGGGATTACATGTCCATGTCCTTCCTTTGAGAAGCTAAACTGAATACTGCATGTGTTATTCCATAGCACAGACCTAGTCAGAGGCTGATCTTTAGCCTCAGTAACTACTTGGCCAATATGCTGGCTCATCAATGGAATTGCATGCCATTTCCCACCTGCCAGCCCTTCACAGCATCTGTCACCTTTTCTTTCATTTTCCCACCTTGTTAACAGTACGGTTCAGCCTGGGGAGAAGGGTCCCAGGCCCCTTCCCAGGGCACTAGAAAGAGCAGTTCTCAGTATGTTTGGGATGTTTTCACAGGAACGGACCTATATTCCAGAGGAGCAGAGGCATTCCAATAAAATTTCCCAATCAGCATTTTGTTATTCAGAAACCATTCCGGCTCCCACAGGAAAAGATGATGCCCAGCAGAAATCAGTAAGTTCTCTTCACCTGGCAAATACATTCTGACAGCAGAGCCGCTTCTGAAAAGAGGGTTTCCAACGGGACTCTACATTGTCTGAGGTAGCTCCTTAGCGCCTGCCCAGTAAAACTACAGCTAAGCATGATGTGCTAAGCTAAAGAGGGCTGGGCCTGGACAGTACCTGAAGAGGAGACCTCTGAGGATCAAGTTCAGGTTACTGAATGAAGTAGTCAGCTGCACATTCCATCAAAGACAATACTAAATGCAGTGACCAAGCATGGTACTTGGGGGAGGTTGCTAACTTCCCAATGGGAGATAAAAGCAAGAGGCGCTTAGCCACTTGTGCTCATTAACCAGCCTGTGGCATTTTTCTGAGCAGGAGTTGTTCCAGGTGTCCTGGCCAAATTCTAGTTTGGAGAATTCCAGTCTGTCTCTTTATACTCCCCTTGTAGAATCATCAGGATTCCTCACTTCCTTTCCCAAGCTGTCACGTAGCATAGCTCTTAGCCACATTCCACTTCCTTTGGGGGTAAAGCAATTCCGGCATATGTAAGGTGCGTAAAATGGTCTGGGATGAAAGGTGCTTTATGAGAGACGCTGCTCTTTGCATCACCCTTTTCACCATGCGTGACCCTGGAGGGTACTGCATAGGGAGAGGACAGGCTTTAAGCACATCAGTGCTCCAGAGTTCCTTTCAGTCACATTCTGTTTTAGAGTGGAAAGCACATGCCTGTTGCTTAGAAGACACCTTTCCTGCAGAGCTCTGACCCCAATTTATTTTCATTTCAGGACATGGAGCTGCTTCGGTTTTCACTGATTCTCATTCAGTCCTGGTTAAACCCCGTGCAGTTCCTAAGCAGGGTGTTCACCAATAGCCTTGTGTTTGGCACCTCAGACAGAGTCTACGAAAAACTGAGGGACTTAGAAGAAGGTATCCAGGCTCTGATGAGGGTAAGCAGCAGCATGTGACATGGTTACAGAATCATATTGCTCTCCTGGACTCCAGCAGACAGAGCTTTCTTGGGGGCTGGCTCAAGACTATGGAATGAACTCGCCCAGGGACTAGGGACCATCCCAAAACTCCCCACTTCCCGCTCCAAATGCGAGGTGCATTTCTTTGACCTTCCTTCTCTAACATAAACATACGTGTAGACCAGTGTTTTCCCCAAGAAATAAAAGTATAGAGGCAGTGTTTGACTTTACAGGGGGGGTTGGAAAATGACTAAATTAGCAACACTGTTAACTAGGGCAAAGAGTCCTGTGGCAGCTTATAGACTAACAGGCATATTGGAGCATAAGCTTTCGTGGGTGAATACCCACTTGGTCGGATGCATGTAGCGGAAATTTCCACAGGCAGGTATAAATATGCAAGCAAGAATCAGGCTAGGGCTAACGAGGTTAGTTCAATCAGGGAGGATGAGGCCCTCTTCTAGCAGTTGAGGTGTGAACACCAAGGGAGGAGAAACGGCTTTTGTAGTTGGCGAGCCAGCCACAGTCTTTGTTTAATCCTGAGCTGATGGTGTCCAGGCTGAGGCTGATGGTGGGTGGCATCTGTTGAAATTGTGGTGGAATTCTTCCAGGGTTTCCTTCCCATGGGTCCAGATGATGAAGATGTCATCAATGTAGCGTAGGCAGATCTACCGCAAACTCAGCCTGGGCTCTGAGGCCCAGATCTGTAAGAATACTTAGGTGCCCAAAGATACAGACAGCAGCTGAGTGGGATTTTCAGAAGTGTCTTGGGAGTCCTGTGGGAGTTAGGCACCTACATATCCAGCTGCATCTTTAGGCAACTAAATGCCTTTGAAAGTCTGGCCCTGAGAGTCAAGCTGGGTTCTTTCCTTCTCACACATCAACAGCACTTCACATACACTTGTGCAACCGCCCCGCCCCCCCCGTTTTCACTTACACTTGTACTCAATTCCTGGGCAGAGTGATGCTGAGAAGCCAGTCAAATAAACAGGTTTCCATTTCAAGCAGTGCTTACCTGGCCAAAAAAAGCTCCAGCTGGTGCACAAAGCTTTTCAGTCAGAAGCAGCAGGAACCTGGTAACATCAGCTAAAGATTTCTCCACTGGGACTGCAAAGTGTTAAAGAGAAAAGAGATTTATTTCACCAGTGTACCAGTTCCCCTAAGCCAGCACTTTGGCCAGCTGTGTTACTGAGACACCTAGACAGTCTCCAACCTGTTTCACACATCCCTCCCATCACCGCTGTGTCTTGTCCGGGGCCTGTCCAGCTTTCTTCATGCAGACTATAGTTTAATATGTCCACAATCGTACATGTATAATTGTTCTTCTTGTGAAAATGTGTATGTGAAAGAATGTGCACAAGTGGAACATGAGCTCTGAACAGCAACCCAGTACCCACCTCCTTTATGGCTAGATGGGAAACTATCTTCTGGTGTAACATGGGGCGCTGGGTTGAGAACCATGGATTTTAAACATATGTGCTTGTAGTCTACAAGAAGAAAACGGAAGTGGGGAGGGAAGCAGCAGGTAAGGGACCATCCCAAGGTTGACAGGAATCCAAAAGAGGAGCTTTCATCCTGCACACCCTTTGGTAACATTCATAGAGGGCGATCCACATCACCTACTCCCTTCTGCCCCTCCTTTCCAGACCCCATCTCTCCCCCTCCCTCCCAGTTGCCTGTCTTGGGTAGCTGATGAGCTCACCTATGAGAGGGGGTGTGCTGGGTTTGACAGTAGCTCCTCTCCCCAGCATACTCCCTCTTGCAGGCTAACTCCCAAAAGCACCCATGCAAGTGTGCTAAGCCAGCTCCACACCACCTGCCTGAATCCTGTCTCTGGCTTTCTGTGCCTGTGAAAGCCCCTTCTTCAGGAGTGCTGAGACTGGGAGGCACTCAGCTGTGCAGGTGCCTTGCCATTTGTTTCCATGGTCCCAGGCCTTTGGGCTCTGATGTGCCAGCCCAAGAGCCATTCCCTCCCACCTAAGCTGCCATGTCCCCACAGGAGCTGGAAGATGGAAGCCTCCGGGGATTTCAAGTCCTCAGACCTACTTATGACAAATTTGACATCAATCTCCGGAACGAAGACGCCTTGTTAAAAAACTACGGCCTGTTGTCCTGCTTCAAGAAAGACCTGCACAAGGTGGAGACCTATCTGAAACTGATGAAGTGCCGGCGGTTCGGAGAGAGCAACTGCACCATTTGATGGCAGAAACACTGTTCTGTTATCCCCGAGCACTAACACAAGACGAGGTTAGCATGCTCCTGCCTGTGTGACCCCCTTTGTGAAGAGAACCTCAGCGGCTGATGTGTCTGTGCGTGAACATACTCTCCCACTAGCTGTGGTGTTTTGGAGGGGCTGCATAATGATGCTCCTCCCCCTTTGTAAAGAAAACCCTTTTTGCCTACAGAGAATAAACGAGCTAGAAGCCCCGCGTTGTGCCGCAGCGTCTCATTGCTCGGTGCGCTTGCTTCCTCTGGCTTCTTGCAGAGGGGATGTCTGAGGAACCACAGCCCGCGGGACGGCAGCCAGGACCCCGCTCCCACGAGTTGGTTCTCCCACCACCGCCACGCTCACGTTGCCATTGGATGGAGGGGCCTGGCAGCCTGTTCTCCACCAAGCTGGGCCGAGGGCAGTGAGGACCACGGGCCTGGGCATGTGGAGGGCAGCGGAGGGCGGGCGGAGGCCAGGGCAGCCCGGGGCCGTTCCTGAGACAGGCCATCGAGAGGCCCCTCGCATCCACCCCTTTCTGCCAGTTACAGCTCTTGCGCTCAGGGCCCTGTTCCCCCCGGCGCCCTCCCGCCCCCAGCGTGAAACGCCACGGCCCTCCGAGGGGCGCGCCGCGCCTGGGGTGCACTGGCCCTGCCGGGGGGCGAGGAACGGGGCTCGCAGCTTCCCGGGCCTGGGAGGCAAGAGGCAGCCAAGGCAGGACCAGGCTGGGGAGGAGGCTGAGCGGGGCCAGGTGGGGGTTGGGGGGGTCGGGCAGGTGGGGGTGGGGCAGGAGGCGGGGCTTAGGCTGGGCGGGGCCAGGCAGGGGTCGAGGGTGGGGTGGGGCGGGGCTTAGGCCGGGCGGGGCTTAGGCCCGGTGGGGGGGGGGCCAGGTGGGGGGTTGGGGGAGGGGTGGGGCGGGGCTTAGGCTGGGTGGGGGCGGGGCCAGGTGGGGGTTGGGGAGGGGGTGGGGCGGGGCTTAGGCCGGGTGGGGGCGGGGCCAGGTGGGGGTTGGGGTCGGGGGGCAGGAGGCGGGGCTTAGGCCGGGTGGGGGCGGGGCCAGGTGGGGGTTGGGGTCGGGGGGCAGGAGGCGGGGCTTAGGCCGGGTGGGGGCGGGGCCAGGCGGGGTCGAGGGTGGGGCGGGGCGGGGCTTAGGCTAGGCGGGGTGGGGCGGGGCCAGGCGGGGTCGAGGGTGGGGCGGGGCTTAGGCCAGGCCGGGCCGGGCCGGGCCGCTGGTGCTGCTGGCGGCCCGCATGGCGGTGGCGGGCGGCCCCGAGGTGCTGGGCTTCCGGGTGCCTGCGGAGAGCGGCCAGGCCCTGCTGGTCTGGGGGCTGGAGGAGGGGGCGGAGGTGAGGCCCGGCCCGCTGGGGGCCGCTGGACCCAGGGGAATCCCGCTCCGTGCGCCTGCCTGGCCGTGGGGCGCCCCCCCCCCGGTCACTGCTGGAGTCGCTAAGGCCAGGGGGTCACTGCTGGGGGAGTCGGTGTGGGGCCTAGGAGGGGGGTAGGCTCAGGGAGGGGGATCAGGGCTGGGGCAGGGGTGGGGTGGGGGGGGGCTCCGGGGTGAGCTCTGGTGTGGGGCCAGGGATGAGGGGTTTGGGGGGTAGGAGGGGGCTCTAGGCGGGGGGGGTTCAGGGGGGGGGGGGGGGGGGATCAGGGCTGGGGCAGGGGGTTGGGTTGTGGGGGGGCTGTTGCGGGCTCTGGCTGAGGCAGGGGGGTAGGGAGGGGGTGAGGGCTCTGGCTGGGGTCCGAGCTCTGGTGTGGGGCCAGGGATGAGGGGTTTGGGGTGTAGGAGGGGGCTCTAGGCGGGGTTCAGGGGGTGGGAGGGGGATCAGGGCTGGGGCAGGGGGTTGGGTTGTGGGGGGGCTGTTGCGGGCTCTGGCTGAGGCAGGGGGGTAGGGTGGGGGTGAGGGCTCTGGCTGGGGTCCGAGCTCTGGGGTGGGCCAGGGATGAGGGGTTCAGGGGGGTAGGAGGGGGATCAGGGCTGGGGCAGGGGGTTGAGGATGTGTGAGGGGGGGTATGGGCTCTGGGCTAGTGGGTGCAGAAATTAGGGGTTCAGGGTGGGGGGGGTCTCTGGGCTTGGGCAGGAGGTTGGGATGCAGGGGGAGGAACGAGGGCTCCAGCTGGGAGTGCAGATTCTGGGGGCGGGCCGGAAATGAGGGGTACAGGGGGTGTGGGGGGGTATCAAGGCTGGGGCAGGGGGTTGGGATGGTGGGGGTGAGGGCTCTGACTGGGGGAGCAGGCCCTGGGGTGGGGCTGGGTATTAGGGGTTTGGGGCATAGGAGAATGCTCTGGGCTGGGACTGAGGGGTTGGGAGGGGGAGTGCAGGCTTCGGGAGGTGCTTATCTCAGGCAACTCCCAGAAGCAGTGGCATGTTCCCCCTCCAGCTCCTACATGGAGGCATGGCCAGGTGGTTCTGTGCACTGCCCTGTCCTCAGGCGCCACCCCCACAGCTCTCATTGGCCACGGTTCCTGGCCAGTGGGATCCGCGGAGCTGGCGCTTGGGGTGCGGGCATCGTGTGGAGCCCCTTGGCTGCCCCTACGCCTAGGAGTTGGAGGGGGCACCTGCTGCTGCTGCTTATGGGAGCTATGGCAGGCAGGGAGCCTGCCTTAGCCCTGCTAAGCCTCCGACCAGACTTTTAACAGCCTGGTCAGCAGTGCTGACCGGAGCCACCAGATTCCCTTCTCGACTAGGCATTCCGGTTGAAAATCGAACACGTGGCAACCCTAGTTTTACACTGGTCTCTCAATGTTATAGGTGACAAGTTCCTAAATCAAAAAGTGTTGTTGTACGTGATGCAAGAGAATACATTAGACCTCGTCATGACACACAGGAATTAATCACAGAACTAAAAATTAATAGTAACTTAGGTACAAGTGATCAAATGTGACTTGACCACATTTGTATTGTGCAAACAGAATGAAGGCCAGATAAGGGGCTTTAAATGGGCCATTTTCACAAAGCTGAAAACAGTTATGAGCCAGATCATCTGGGAGGAAGAATTTAATCAGAAAAATGTGAATGATAATTGGGAATTGAATTCTTTAAGAATGCTTTACTACCTGCCCTAAAAGCCACAATCAAGGAAGTAGGACATAATTGGTTTTGGTTTAGAGGGGAAGTAAAGGCAGCTATTATATATAAATGGAAGAAAAGGGAGGTTGATAGTAATGAATATGAATCATCATACAAGAAGGATGTGGATAAATTGGAGAGAGTCCAGCGAAGGGCAACAAAAATGATTAGGGGTCTAGAACACATGACTTATGATGAGAGGCTGAGGGAGCTGGGATTGTTTAGCCTGCAGAAGAGAAGAATGAGGGGGGATTTGATAGCTGCTTTCAACTACCTGAAAGGGGGTTCCAAAGAGGATGGATCTAGACTGTTCTCAATGGTAGCAGATGACAGAACGAGGAGTAATGGTCTCAAGTTGCAGTGGGGGAGGTTTAGATTGGATATTAGGAAAAACTTTTTCACTAAGAGGGTGGTGAAACACTGGAATGCGTTACCTAGGGAGGTGGTAGAATCTCCTTCCTTAGAGGTTTTTAAGGTCAGGTTTGACAAAGCCCTGGCTGGGATGATTTAACTGGGAATTGGTCCTGCTTCGAGCAGGGGGTTGGACTAGATGACCTTCTGGGGTCCCTTCCAACCCTGATATTCTATGATTCTATGATATACCAGGAGTTGTAGAAAATTAGTAGGGGAGCAAAGGGGACAGAACGAGAAATCTACAACCAGCAGAGTTCAGGACACTAAGGAGGAATATTTTTAAGTATATTAGAAACAAAAAGAATCTTAATAATGGTATTAGGCCATGACTAGATGGCAATAGTAGAATTCTCAATAGTAATACAGAAAAAGCAGAAATATTAGATAAATAGTTCTGTTCTATGTGCGGGGGGGGAACAGATGATGGCGTCATGTCATATGATAATACTCTTCCCATTCTACTTGTATCTCAGGAGGGTATTAAACAGCAGGCACTAAAGTTCGACATTTTTAAATAAGTCCATATAACTTGTTCCAAGAGTGTGTTGGTTTTGCCTTTTTTAAATCTGGCTGATGACCTGATGGACAGTTAATGTTGATTTTCAATAGTCTTGAGACACTGGGGAAATTCCAGAAGACTGGAAGAAAGCTAATGTTGCACTAATATTTGTAACGGTTAAATGGGAAGACCTGGATAATTATAGGCTTGTCAATCTGAAACTGATCCCAGGCAAGATAATGGAGAGGCTGATATGGGATTTGATTAATAAAGAATTAATGGAGGGTAATAGGATTAATACCAATCAACGTGGGTTTCTGGAAAATAGATACTGTCATACTAAACTTGATAACACTTTTTTTTTTTAAATGAGATTACAAGTTTGGTTGACAAAATTTGGTTGAAGGCATTTGACTTGGAGGCATAGTGCATTTTGATAATTTTATAAAAAGAAAAGGAGTACTTGTGGCACCTTAGAACTAACCAATTTATTTGAGCGTAAGCTTTCGTGACCTACAGCTCACTTCATCGGATGCAGCCTAGAGCTCCCTCCTACACCCCAAACCCCTCATCCCTGGCCTCGATGAAGTGAGCTGTAGCTCACGAAAGCTTATGCTCAAATAAATTGGTTAGTCTCTAAGGTGCCACAAGTCCTCCTTTTCTTTTTGCGAATACAGACTAACACGGCTGCTACTCTGAAACCTGATAATTTTATATCATTCTATTTTTTAACATAAAACACTTGTGACAGGATCCCCAGGGTGCAGCCTGGAACTGTGGGACTGCTGTGCCCCCTTAACTCTCTCCAGCCTGGGCTGTCTCTCACAGTGCCTTGCTAGTGACCAGCGGCAAACCCCTTCAGGTGCTGTGATCACTCAGCACAACCGCATGTGGAGCCCCACTCCCAGCTAGAAAGTGGCAGTGTAGACAAGGCCTCAGTTGCTTGCAGTGTTGGTGGGGGCAGGAGAACTCTCCAGTATGTGTCCACATATTCTGTTTTATACCCTCGGTCCACGTGCTTGGAAAACACAAGTCCAGGCATGTCTGGGGGCATTGCTCAAGGCTTGTCTGTACTGCCAATTTACAGCGCTGCAGCTGTCTCTCTCAGGGGTGTGAAAAAACACTCCCCCTGAGCGCAGCAAGTTTCAGCGCTGTGAAGACAGTGCACCAGCACTGGGAGCTGCACTCGCGGCGCTGGGAGCTATGCCCC